CGTTCGCCCGAGGCGTGGCCCATCTGTTTTGCCATCGTGAACGGACTGGTGCTGCTGGGCCGCCTCGACATGGCGCTGTTCATCTGCCTCATGGGGAGCACCTACGCCAAGCCCATCCAGCTGGTGGCCCTGGAGCCCGAGTACCTGTACCCGCCGTCGCGAGTGTCGGCCTGGACAGTCCAGCTCAACCCCAAGCCCGAGGGGGTCCCGTCCAAGGCGAGAGAGTTCGACGTGACTATCGAGCTCGACCACGCTGGGTGGTCCCGCCTGGCTCCGATGCGTACGACGCTGAAGAGCTTGCCCGCAAGCCGTCGGGTGTGGTCGTTCACTTATCCGAAGCTGGCGGCGACAGTGGCGAAGGTCGCCAAGGACCTCGGCTTCGACCTGGGGGTGTACCAGACTCGGCGCAGCGGCGCCAGCGCGGACATGGCGTCCCGCAGGCGTACTCTGGCCGAGGTCAAACAGAGGGGCGGCTGGGAAGGCGATCGGCCTGTGGTGCGGTACGAGAGAAGAAGCTTGGCCAGCACGTGAGCCCGCCACCCGGCCTGACGCCAGAGCCGCGCCGAGCGGTGCGAGGAGAGATTCGTGGAGATCTAGCTGCACGGTCTCACGGAGCCCAGGCCCGCTTTCACCTTCCGTTAGGGGGGCGTCGTCTCTTCGCGCTGCTAATCGGCGACGCTTTCCTGCAACCGCATCATGTTACGCGACAGGGCTTCTTGACCAGGAGCCTAGCCGAGCGGGATCTGACACTTGGGTCCTTGCTCGCGCTGCGCCGAGATTTTCAGGAGTCGCGCATTGCTGCCCTGTTTGTCTCAGTGACCGATTCGGACACGATGATGCGTGCTCGTTCGTTGATCACACTTGCTGTAAAGTTGAGACTCCCAGTTATAATTGTGTGCCGTGCAAAGCTAAGTTCAGACGTCGGCCGAGCGTTTAGTGAATTAGAGGGTGCTCTCTGTCAGGTTTCGCACATATGCAGATATGGTGGTCGTGGTAGATTTCCGATTGTCTCGTACATTTTCAATATACAGTCTGCCGACTGCTCTCGCCTAGGGCTCGCGTGCCCTGGCAAGCGTTCCCGTGACTGCCACCAGCCCCACCTCTTTTCGCTTCGCCCCGCCCACCACATCCCAAAGAGGTTCCAGAGAGCCCTAGCGTTCACGCTGTTAACTGTCCCTCGTGCTCTGTACTTATCAGTGTGAGAACAGAACCTGTTTTGGGTTTTCTGATTCGGGATGATGTGTGAAGTTTAACTGCGGAGTTCGAGCTCCGCTCTGTCTTCCCATCTCGGATCCGAGTCGCTTAGACCAGCGAGTGCAGTAGAGAGAAGTAATCACCGCTAAAAAATATGCATGTAAGTCATGGGGGTGCGTGCACATTAATGACTTAGCGGATTTTGGGATGTCGGTCTCATCACCTCAGCGTGCCACTCAGTAGTCGTCTGGGCTCCCCTCCCGCCCAAGCCCTTTCGAGAGGGACAGTAATGCCTGGATGATGTGTGAAGTTTAACTGCGGAGTTCGAGCTCCGCTCTGTCTTCCCATCTCGGATCCGAGTCGCTTAGACCAGCGAGTGCAGTAGAGAGAAGTATTCACCGCTAAAAAATATGCATGTAAGTCACGAACATGACTCAAGACTTTGCCCCAAAGTGTATTTTGAATGGTTTTTCGATAGGGATGGTGGGGGGGCGCACCGGGTTGGCCGCGCATGCTCCAAATGTGGAGGCAGAGTGCGGTTTGTATTGTTTTTTGACAGGGATGGTGGGGGGCGGGCCCTCATGGAGTCAGCATGGCCGGGTTGGCCGCCGGCCAGGCGGGGGAGGGGGTGTAGATTAATGAGGAGCAGGGGGAAGGAGGGATGCTGACAGAGAGAGGACGAAACTCGTTAAACCACCTACGCCCAGAGGGCTGGTGGGATTTATGCATGTGGATCCTGCGTCGCTGGGCCTCAGTGAGAGCGGGGCGAGGGGGCGGCGAGGGAGACGGAGGGGAGGCGGGGGCGCAGGAGGGGGAGGATCCGATTGCCGCAGCGATGATGTACGTATGCTTCCTCCCCCGTGGGATCAGCCCTGGGCTCTGGGAGGACCTGGGAACCAGGGGTCTCTTCCTGGGCTGGAGGACGGGGGGGCCTCGAGGCGGAGGAGGGAGGAGGGAGGAGAAGGGTCGCGGCTTTGAGGAGGAGGAGGAGGAGGAGGAGGAGGAGGAGGAGGAGGAGGAGGAGGAGGAGGAGGAGGAGGAGGAGGAGGAGGGGCGGCCGTCTGTGTGATGGTCCGCAGGGCCTACAGGGGCGCGCACCACCGCCAGGGCAGCTCGGGCCCACGGCGGGCCCAGGACTTGGGTGTACAGGGGTCACGCGCGTGCCCGGGCTCATGGGAAATGCGATGGGGGTGTCACCGATGGGGTTGCCACAGTTTGCGATGTCAACCAGTGGCGATGCGTCATGGCTCGCTTATAGGCCCACCAGGGCATATTCTAAGAACCTTTTGGTAGTCTACACGAGATGTTCTCAGAACACTTCTGGCGGAGCCTGTCTTGTTTTAACACATCTGGTGTATGTTCTAAGAGCATTGTTTTTGTATTTTCGAATATTTTTGGGTTATGAGAACATCTCGTGGTGGGCCTACAGGAATGCCGGGACGGCCGCTCCCTGCTCAACGATGAGACGAAGTGTTGAGGAGCACCCGTGCGGGCATGAAACATGCAAAGGTTGGAGGACAGTTGGAAAATGCAGCCACATAATAACACGCTAAGTCAGCTCGCAGGGGTACGCATACCATTTGATGTCTGTTCATGGGAGTCTTGTGCGGCGACACTGAAATCAGCTTTTCCTGCATTGGACCGCGTAGGGAACGCACTTGGCCTATCCTCCTGCTCCTCCTCCCTTCCTGTGAATTCAATCCAAATCTGGTCGAAATCCGGTCCAAATGTGTGCCAAATTTGGTCCAAACCAGGCCCAAATTGGACAGCGCCGGGGGCCACGCAGGCTCCTATGGAACGGACGCCAAAATACCAGACAACAGCTTGCTGGCAACTATTTGCAAGACCATGTGAACGTAATGCTAAACGGTGGGAAATTACATGTGCGTAAGCTGGGCTCTGACGTCGCGATCTACTTCCGGACTTCAGAATGATGAGCATAGTCCAGGCGAGTCGGCCGCACATATCGCGATCGGCACATCTGAATTTTGCTCTGGTTGACCCAAACGGGGGTCCAGCGACAAGGGGGTAGTGCAATAGATCTGGTGCAATAGATTTGTGGGGTTGCAATACATTCCTGTGCGCAATGTATTGCTGGGTCTTCGCGTGCAGTACATTAGTCTCTGGTGCAATACATTTGCAAGACAATCGCCCCAAACTTATTGCACCACCACCTTTCAGTTGGACTCCCTTTTGGGTCAACCAAATATACTCCCTCGGAGATACGCGTATACTTTTGTATAGTTGCACATCTAGTTATCCACAACTATATATGTATATATGCACGAGTGGCACGTGCGTGCCCTGGCTCGTACCAACGGTACTGTGTTCTTTGCATTGTGTGTTGTGTATGTGTGTTGTGCGTATGTCGTGTGTTGTGTGCGTTCTGTGTGAGTCATGTGTGGGTGCAGTGTGTATGTGTGTGTGTGTGTTGTGTGTGTGGTATGTGTGTTCGGCGTGTTCGGTGTGTGTGTGTGTGTGTGTGTGTGTGTGTGTGTGTGTATGTGTGGTCTGTGTCCTTGTCCTCCCCTTGCATGGTGGCCCAATTCGCGTACCGTTTGCCACGTATTGTATTCGCCAGCGCAGTCACTCTGCCTAGCCGCCGACGCAAGCAGTGCGTGGTCTGTGTGTGTGTGTTTGGTGTGTGTGTGTGTGTTGTGTGTGTGTGTGTGTGTGTGTGTGTGTGTGTGTGTGCGATGTGTGTTGCGTGTGCTATGTGTATGTGTTGTGTGCTTTGTCTGTGTGTGTGTGTTCTGTGTGTCGCATCGGTGTTGTGCGTGTTTTGTGTGTATGTGTGTGTGTGTGTGTTATGTGTGTTCTGTGCGTGCTGTCCGTGGGGGCTTGATTGTAGGAGGAAATATCAGGCGACATTGTCTGTTGCTAAGGCTCGTGTTTAGGAAGGGCTCGATGTTAGGTGAACGTCTCAGGCGAAATTGCTTCTCATGTAAGAATAGTGTTCAACAAGGGCTCGACCTTGGGAGGAGGTCTCGGGCGAAACTGCAATGTTCTCAGACTCGTGTTCAACATCATTGGGACCCATCGTGTTTTGAACGTTTTCTGTTTCAATGCTTGAAGGAGTTTCTGTGTTGCGGACCTGTCTTTCACGATCTGCGTGAGGGGTGCCACCGATTTTCAGAATTTTGAGGATGTCCGTACCGATTCGACCACTTTCGTGACAGACGGAGGGGTGCATTCATCCCCGCTGGGCTCGACTCCCTCGGAGAGGTGCGTATGATAATGTACAAACACGTCCTTACCGCTGCCCCGCCCCTGCCTTTTGGAGACGTGCCGTGCAGTGTCGCGTGAACGTGCGGCCACGCTAGTGGACTGCGTGTGCCTGCAGCTGTTGGGGACACCACTGGGGGAGCACTGGGGATGGGGCCCCCGTGGGACTGTCTGGGGACCGTTTCCGGGCCTTCTGGGCCGTCTTGGGTGGCCAGGGCCCTCTTGGGCAATCTTGCAGCGCGCAGTCGCTGCGATCACCATGCGATCAGGGCTCGCGAGGCCGACACCAGCGCACCTGGCGCCAGGAGGCCCTAGGAAGACCAGCTGCGTGAGCTTACTCTCTACCCTGCCCTCTGCTCTCCTTCCCTCGCGTCCTCCCGTCCCCGATCCTCCCGTCTCCCAGGACCCCATCCTCGATCCTCCCGCCCTCCCACCCTCGATTCTCCCATCCTCCCATCCTCGATCCTCCTGTCCTCCCGGCCCCGTCTCCTTCCCTCCCGTCCTCCCGTCCTCGACCCTCCCGTCCTCCCATCCTCGATCCTCCCCCGACCCTCCCATCCTCGATCCTCCCGACCCTCCCAGGACCGGGCCAGCGGGCCGTACAAGGTGCAGGCCCGGCCCGGCGCCCCCGGCGCCCGCCCCGCTCCCCGCACGGCGCCCGCCCCGCCCCCCCTCCCTGCGGCGCGCCGCGGGCCGGGGCGGGCCGCGGGCCTCGCGCGGGGCCCCGGGGCGCCCTCGCCCTCGCCCTCGGTCGGGAGGCGGCAGAGAGGGGCCCCGAGATCCTGGCGACTCAGTCTTTTCGAGCTGGGCGTTTTTGCCATTCTTCGGGTCCCGGGGCCCTCACGGATGGATCCGGCTCGAAACTGGTGCAGAAAGAGGGGGTCCAGGGCTCCGGGCGCGGATTGTCACGATGTTGCACTTTGTTCGCCACGCCGGATCTCAGGAGGGGTGATGGGTCAAGGGGGGGGGATCTAGCATGGCGGGGGCCACGATACCTCCCCAGATTTCGTGGCGCCTCCTCTCGTTTCCTTGCGGCCCCCTGCCCCCCCCCCCCCCGCTGGGCCCCGCACGTGCCGCCGGCCGTGATTTGCACCCCGCCTCTTGGGCGCCCCCCCCCTTTGGACGCCCCCGACCTCGGGCCTCATCAGGTTTTACCAGGCCGATCTTTTGGCCACGGTGTCGCACAGACATGGTATTCTCAAGAGAGCATTGCACGTCCTCGCGGTTGTCGATCAGCAGGTCGAAGGGTCCTGCTAGCTCGCGACAACCAGTCCGACGGCCGCAATAGTTTTCTCGTTGATGTGGCGAGCGTTGTCGAGACCATGGGCGCACACCTCGCGATGCTTGGCCACCGTCCCAAAGACGTCCAGGTGCGCATGCTGCTTCGGCGATGCGCAGTGGCCGTGATGCTCGGCAACGCCCGCGCGCTTCTCGACGTCGCTCTCGTTCTCCTCCTCTTCCTCCTTCCCTTCGGGGGCGTCCGAAGTCAGTTGCGTTCCGGGCGGTCAGCTGGCCGCTCTGGTCGCTTGCTGACAGTCAGGGGCGTTCAGTCGGTTCGGCTGCGTCGCAGTCGGTTGCGTTCGGTCGGAGCGGTCGCTTGTTGACAACAGCAGCCCAGAAGGGCGAAGCGACGCAGCAAGGACATAACATTTGTTGTGTGTCCTTGCTGCGTCGCTTCGCCCCTCTAGGCTGCTTGCGGCCTGCCGGCTTCGGTCTTCCTCGGTTCTGGTGTCGGTTCGGGCTGTCCTAGGTGTCGCCGTAGGCGACCTTGCTCCTCCTGCTATTACTACCTACGGGCCAGACGTGGTAGAAGTGCTTCGGCCTTGGCCCCCAATGGCTCCTCCTCCGCCTCTTCCTCCTCGCCCCTGCTGCTACTGCATCTCCTCGCCCCGGGCGCACGGCACGATTGTGATCTGGCGTCTCCTTGCGGCGTATCCCGACCTGGAAGGTGTATTCTTTCGCGTGGAGGGTAAACCGTGGCCCATCTCGGCTGTCAGTTCGCTTGTTCCTTCGTCTGCTGACCGTGTTGACCAGGTCAGGTACCTTGACAGCTCTTACGTATTGAAAACCGGCCTTGACACGATAATCCTTGCGTTACTCTGGTGGCCATGCCGCGAACATGCGGTTTCTTTCACCCCTGGTCCGACTCGTCATCGTTCACGTTCCCATTCCCTCATGAATTGCCGAGCGTGTTGCCTCTGCAGACACTGATGGCCAGCAGCTTCGAACGCCACGGCCAGTTAACACAATGTATATGTAGCCGTTATTGGTTTTGGGAAATTCCTGAGACAACCTGGGCACCTTTTAGGGCCGTCTGTGCGCCTCCTCGCGTCATATCTGATCGTGTTGCGACTTTCCGATGTTGCTGTAAGGTTTGAAGATATCTGCACGTGTCTGGAGGCTGCCTGGGACATCCCCAGCAAGACGGTATGGCGCCAGAACGGGCCGCTCATGATTCTGAGAGTTACCCGATTGAAGCATACCCCTATCCCTATGTTTGGCATCACCTTATCTCGGTGCCGATCTTATGGATCCCGTCAGTTTCTGAGGGCACATCCCTAAGATTGACATGGCTTTTGGCTTGCCGATCTTAGGGATAGGGAGAAGCTCGAGTCTGGTTAGAGAGTTGGGTCGGTGAGCCCGCGCCCAGCCTCACAAGCGCTAATCGAAATTCGGCAGCGAGCCAACATGCTAGCACTGTGTGTGCATCGCCCTCCCAGGGGCGGCGCGCCCGCCGAGGAGTCTCAGAATAGATGGGCGGTGGCGGGCGCTTTCTGGCCACGCTGCTCGGGAAACGATACACCACAAGATGGTTATACTATACGTCCGGGTCGGACGCACGCCTCCAAGGAGGGCACATTGTACTACTACCCTCGTCTAAACTAATTTCAAAAATGGCAAGCACTCCCCTGCGATGTCGGCGCGCCTTTCAATGTCGATACGACGCCCCTCCAATGTCGGGGCCAGGACAAAGGTGGTCTGACCAGGAACGGCTCGGAAGTTCGATGGTGACCGACACTGGAGGAGCGGCGCATACAAGTACCTCGCAGTCATCGCTACTCTGTTCAATATCTCCCCACAAACAGTTCAGCCACGCAAGGCATTCTTGAGGTTCATTCTGACGAGAGTTGTAGTGTGTCCTTGTGCGTCCCATGGATCCCTGTGGAGGCGGGGCGAGGGGAACAGCCCTGCAGTGCAGGGCTGTTCCCCTCGCCCCGCTGTGTTGTTGAGGTTCAGGGGTGGAGCCGATCCTGCTGTTGAGAGATCTCTCTGGTCGTGTGGGGGCCATTGTTGGGAATTCCAGGGAATTCTTAAGGGTTGGGAGCACCAATAACCCATGCCTTACCACCCTGCACCGCGCACGCCTTGTTGCTGATGGGCAAATTCTCCACCACCACTGCCATATGTAGGACGGGGGAGAAGGGAGGATGAGGTCCTCCTCCTCCTCCTTTTCCGCCTTTTCCTCCTTTTCCTCCTCCTGCGCTCCTCCTCCTCCTCCTCCTCCTCCTCCTCCTCCTGCGCTCCTCCTCCTCCTCCTCCTCCTCCTCCTCCCTCTCCTACCTATGGTAGAACATGGGCCCACTTGTTGCACCCTGCGCGCGGGGGCTGCCGCACTGTCTGCGCCTGCCGATCTGCCGACCCAGAAGGCGGAGTCTGCCCACACACGGAGGGCCGAAGCCTGGAAGAGCCGAGGCCTGCACCGGTCCCCGGACCCCCTCGCTCTGCGACAAAAAATCACGACGGCGTCTGAGTTGGAGTTTTTTTTTGGGTGGAGTCCTCCTCCTCCTCCTCCTCCTCCTCCTCCTCGTCCTCCTCCTCCTCGTCCTCCTCCTCCTCCTCTCCTCCTCCTCCTCCCCTCCTCCTCCTCCTCCTCCTCCTCCTCCTCCCTCCTCCTCCTCCTCCTCCTCCTCCCCCTCCTCCTCCTCTCTCTCTCTCTCCCACTCCCGAGGGGGGCGTCAGCCCCGCGGAGTCCACGCAGTTCGCCGCGGGCCCGCGACGGCGGGCGCGCGGCGCGATCATCGTTCCTCGCTGCTGTTGCTAACTCGTAACCTGCCTCCCTCCTCGGGGGGGGGGGGGGCGTGCCCCCCCCCCCCCCCCCCACCCCCCGCCCGCACGCCCCGCTCAGCCTGCCGTTGGCGGGGGCGGCGGCGGCAACGCGGGGGCCAGGCGCCGCGGGGCCGCGGCGGCGGCCGCAACGCCTCCCTCGCCTGGTCCTGGCAGGGGAGGCGAAGGCTCCGCGGGGGCCCAGGGGCACCGCAGCAGCGCCTCCCTCGTCGTGGGGTGGCGCGGGCGGCGGCCCCTCCGCAGGAGCCAGGCGCCGCACTCCAGCGGCCGTGGGCGCCACAGGCGCCCTGCTCCGCGCGGCCGCGGCCTCGGCCGCCACAGCGATCGCCTCTGCCACCATCGTAGAGCTGCAAGTGCTCGGTCCTGCCGCTCTCCAGGATTCGTCCATGTCGGCGCCCACGTCGATCCCGTCGGCGACGACGTATCTCCTGGTTTCAAGCCTGGCCGTCGTAAATCCTGTTATGGCTTGCTTCATCTCGGTCGTCTCTACGATGTGGGCCCCGATGTCCATCGGCGGCATCACGACGAGGATCGGCACCTGCTTCTCCTTGGCCGCCTTCATCAGGTCCATCGTTAGCCACCACGCCTCGTTCTCCATTGTGACTTTCTTTTGCGAGGCGGCGCCGAGCCCAGGTCTACCCGAAGGGTATTCGGGACTTCTGTATGCGCTCGCCTCGCTGTCTGCCGTAGGGTCCATGTGGCGGAAGGGGACCTCACAACCCGCGCCGAAACTGCATCCATGACCTCGTACCAGGCGCACCTTCCCTGCAACGACTGTCCAAGCCTCGAGTCCAGGTCCTCGCGGTCGGTATTCATCATGCCGATGTTGTCTGCATTTGCGTAGCTCTGGATGGCGGTGGTGAGCCGCGCGTCAAGGACGGTGCTGGCAACTATGCTCCATATGATTCGGTCGTGGATGTATCCGCGAGGTACGTCGTTCGGGGCGGCGGGCGCACTGGATAGCAGCGCGACCTCCTCTTCTGTCCTCTTCTTTGCTTCCGCCGTGTTCGTCATCTCGATCTCTTCTCCTGGCGCTTGGCGGGCGTGGTCCTCTCTTCCTACTGGATGTCCTCTTCTCCTCGTGCCGTCTCCATGGCACATCCTGCTTCCACTGGGCGTCCTGCTGCTCTTTCCAGCTGCCCTTCTGTCACGTGGTCCACGTCCTGCTGGCCATCTCGGCGTCTTCCTGCTGATTCCGCTGCCGCTGCGCTGAGTGGTGCTGGGCCGGCACCTGCGCGGCGGTGCGCAATCTCAGCAGCACCCTTGACTCAGCCCGCTGCTGCCTGGCGCGGCGATGCCAGGCGGGCTCGCCGACGGTGCGCGGCGTGGCGGCCGCCTCCTGCGCGGCCTGGCGGGGGGCCAAGCGTCCGCGCTCGCCGCCTCCTCGCAGGTGGCGGGGCCGAGGGGGGCCTCTGGGGCCGTCTTGGGGCCCTCGGCCCCGCCTCAGGCAGCTCGGTGGCGCGCGGAGGGGTGCCGCCTCCGCGGGCGGGCGGCTGCAGCGGCTGCCGATCGCAACCGCCGCGGCGCGCGGCCACGAGGGGCAAGGGGCGGGCCGACGACGACGACGGCTGGCCCCGCTATCCTCGGCCCGTGGCTCTCCCCCTGCTCCTCCTCCTCCTCCTCCTCCTCCTCCTTTTCTTCCTTTTCCTCCTCCTGCGCTCCTCCTCCTCCTCGTCCTCGTCCTCGTCCTCGTCCTCCTCGTTGCGTCGCGTTGCATAGGAAGTTTTTTCGTTTCCTATGTTCGACCTCCAGGGGCCCTTACCAGGACCCCTGGCTGTCAAAAAACGACTCCAGGATGAATAACCCGTCCTGGGGAAGGGGTCCAGATTTCTGGGGGTCGACGTTGCGAACGAATCACGACGTCGGGGGTCTGGGTCTGCAGGCTTTGGGATCCTAGGGGGGCCTCCCTTTCTGCGACCGCTCGGCCCTCTTGCGAGCAGGTCTGGGCAGAGTACGGCTCGCTGGAGTACCCGCAGATGTCGCACCCAGGTGCAGACCCCCGCCCGGGTGTCCCTGGCGTGCCTTCCCGCCCTGCTGCTGCGGATGTTGTTGCTGCGGGTGTTGCTGCTGCGGCTCTTGCCTTGTCCCTCTGTAGCCACATGTGAATCGCACCCCCGCCCCCCACGACTTCTAAGGGGGGGGGGGGGGTGGGGGTTCATTTCGTTCGGGAGGCCCCGAGCGGAGTGATCCCCGCACCACCCCTTTAGAAGTCGTGGGGGGTGGGGGTGTAGGGTTCACGTGTGGCCCCCTTCTCTTTCCCCCCACCATCCTCCCGCCTGGTCTCCTGTTGCAGCTCTCCTCGGAGCGCAGCCCATGCAGGAGGGGACGGCTGGTGGTCGTTTGCGCCCGACGTTGAGTCTGCTCCAGCATGCGAGATCTGAGCATGGTGCCACCAGCCACACGACATCAGAACGCACGTACACCAAACATCGCGCCGATCTGTTAAACGAGACTCCAAATGGGTTACCAGACCTCCGATGTGTAGGCTGTGTCTTAGTACTCCGGTTTCCCGAGCTCTCGACTGCAATATGTGTAAGGGTTTTGTAGGGTGGGTTCTCTTTTGTGGGCCGCTGGGCCCGACAGGGGCCGCCTGAGGTCCGAATTTAGAAAGCTGTCCGTCCCAGTTTCCTGGTGGGTTGCCAGAAATCTTTCAGGGGGCAGGGAGCTCAAACCATAGCGAAACGGCCTGGTGCTCTCCAGGTTTGGTGAGGGGCTCCTGGCTCCCAATCTTGAGTCCCACCACGATCACACGGCACAGTGTCAGACAAGCGTTCCCACGACAGCGCTTCCTGCTGCTGCTGCTGCTGCTGATGCTTCCGATGCTGGGGCAGCTGCTGCTGCTGCTGCTGCTGCTGCTGCTCTTCCTATCCTCCGTGCTCCCCTCTTCCTCCCTCCCTCCTCACGTGTTTTGTGTTTGGTGAGAAGTCCTCCCTCCCTCCTCACTGCTCCCCACCATCCTTACTTCCGAGTGGGGCGCTGCAGAAAAGGCCTCGCCTTCGAAGGGCCGAGGAGTTGGCCTCCCTTTCCTCCTCGGCGGGAGGCCTGCGGAAGAGGCACGAGAATGTGCGAGAACGGGCGAGCATGCTTCTCGTGAGACGGTTGTGGCCCCCCCCATCTCCTCAGGGGAGGGGGGGAGGGCAGCTGCCCTTACAGAGCCGTCCTCCTGCTGGGAGTGCGAGCGTTGGCGGGGCTGGGGCACGAAGATTCCCGTCTGCCTTCGCTCGCTCTTTGTTGGGTTGCTTGTCTGCCGTGCCTATACCAGTGCCGCCGACGGGGCAGCCAAGAGCCTCACATATTGTCGTTGGGGGTAATGCCTTGACGGCAGTAACAGTCACCCTCAACACTCTTTTTCTTGTTGTTTCCACCACCACTGCCATACGTAGGACGAGGGAGAAGGGAGGATGAGGAGGTCCTCCTCCTCCTCGTCCTTCCCTGCTCCTCCTTCCCTCCTCCTCCTTCATCTCCTACCCATGGTAGTGGTGGTGGAAAATAGGCCCATCATTCCTCCCCTCCCTTCCCCTTGGCCTCTCCGCCAGACGGTGGAGGAGGGATGGTGTCTGGCTGGGAGCTGACGGGAACTGGTGCGCTTAACAAGTCGGGCGTGTCCCCCTACAGGGGGATTTCCGACGAAAAACAAATACTCAAGAAATAGTCCCAGCTGGTCAAAAAGTATTCAAAAAATGGTCACCGTATTTTGTTTGACCATTTTTGAATATTCCCCCTGTAGAGGGACAAGCCCGACTTAATGGTGCGCGGAGGCTCCAGCGCTCCTCGGCGGGGGACCGCCGGACCATCGCCGATTCTCCCCACGCCTCCCTCGCTCCCCTCAGGCGATCGCAAACATGGATCAAGGGGAAATTTATTAGCGACAGGCCCCGTTTCCATTTTGAAATCGCGGATTTCCGCCGCCGAGCGAAGCGGCACTGGCCGCATTTTGGGGAGGGCACCTCCCCCGATCCATGGATTTGGCGACCGCGCGCCAAATCCATGGATCGCTAATCCATGTTTACGCGCTTCCGACCTCCCCCGACCTCCCCCGCCCTCCCCGCCCTCCCCTGCCCTCTCCCCGCCCTCCTCTGCACTCCCCGCGTTCGCAGGCATTGTGACCCAGGGGGTCCTTCTCGCAGGGCGTCGCCGATCGCATGCTGCACCCTCCCTCCCCTCTTCTCTCCTCCCTCCTGCGCTGATTGACACGTTCATCTTGTACGCAGTCATCTCGGCCTGGAGTCGTGTGCATGGCAGCCTGTGCTGAAATTGATCCAACTCCGACGCGATGTGCATGATGCCGAAAAGATGCGATCCGCAGCTGTAGTCGCATTTTGCTTGTGAGTGCCCCCCTTGGCCCTTGGCCCTGAAGCCATCGGCCTCATCCCCTTGCCCTGCGTCGGCCGCGTTTTCCCGCCGGAAGCGTCGCGCGTCCCTCCTTGTGGGAGCTCCGGGAACCGAGCGAGAAGTTCAAGCCTGCCTGGCCTCCCTCTCCTGGTCTGCGCCGCCTCCGGAAGCCCGCGCACACGCGAGCGGAGGGCGCCAGGGCTGAGAGCCGCAGCTGCGGCGCCCTTCTGGGAGCTCTCGGCCACCGGTGCTCGAGGCCCCGACAAGGGGCCGCCTCGCTGACGTTGAGGATCGAGGGTAGAGGGTAGAGATCGGGGATCGAGGATTCGATCGAGGATCAAGGATCCCATCGAGGATGGGGATCGAGGATCGAGGATGGATATCAAGGGTCGAGGATGGGATCGAGGATGGAGGATCGGCGGCAGCTGCCCTTCCCTCGTCACCACGGCTGCACTCGCCTCGAGAGCAGGGTCAGTCAGAACGATCTCCACGAGAGGTCCGTGGAGCAGCGGCAAGTATGTGCTTCTTGTTGCCCCCCTCCTGTCTGGGCCCCCCCTCTCCTTCTCCCCTCCAGGGGGCGACCTAAGCGGTGTTTAGGCGATTTCGCGGGCCGTCTTCGTTTCGACTTCGTTTTGCAGCGCAGGCGGCCTGAAGACGAAACGAGGGAAGACGAAACCAACACGACAACGAAGAACACTGTTCATGTCTATCCCTCCTCGTCGTCGTCCTCCTCCTCCGTAACCATTTTGGCTCAAGCAACGCTGGTCCGAGCGCACCATTTTGGCATCGCACTCGGCCAGCCCCGCGCCGCCTCGTGGTGCTTGAGGGACGGCGGATCATCCGTGCGTCTGAGCGCCGCAGATTCCGTCGGCAAAAGCGGGGTCAGGAGCGCACGCCACCGAGGGCCATGTCGAACCGTTGGAGCACGTGCGCTGGATGCGGTACTCACGAGGTCAACGCCGAGCTCATCAAGAACGGTGGGAAGTGCCGCACATGCCATCGACCCGTGAAGCTCTGTGTCCCGAAGGGTGACAAGGGCAAGAACAACGACAGGACCAAGCTGGAGTTCGAGGTCAAGACGCCAAAGGGCAGTGTCGGCCACGACGACTCCACGCAGCAGGCCGTGGTGGCGTTGTCGGGGCCGTTGGCAGTCGTCAAGGATCCGAAGGTCAAGTCCATGTTAGAGGAGCAGCTCAAGTTGACGCAGCAATCGGCGCTGGCGGCCACCAAGCCGTTGGCGGCCGAGGAGGCTTTGCGCCGTGCAGCTGGTGCGTGGCGAGACGCCAGCGCGAAGTATCCACGGGCGGCGGCGCAGGTGCAGCGGCTGGAGCAGAACTTGGTCAAAGCACGGGAAAAAGGACACCGAGGCAGCCAGGTCTCTCGCCTCGCGGAAATCAATCGTCGAGGTGCTGCGCAGGCGCTCGCCAGAGAGACGGGTGCTGTCACCGTAGGTGCACCCCAGGAGGAGCCATTGTTCAATCTCACTTGGGACGAGGAGTTTTTTCAAGCAGCTGGAGGACCTCGGTTGCAGCAGGGAGGAGAAGGAGTCCTTGCTCAAGATCGAGGCGGAGTTGAAAGCAGTCCGAGACTCGGTGCTCGCCAAGACCGACGAAGTCACCAAGTGGAGGGCGCAGACCGAGGACGTGAAGAAACGTGTCCAGGAGAGGATCGCCAAGAAACGGCGCTGCGAGGCAGAAGCCGCCCCAGGGGCCGCAGCAGGCTCCAGCGGGGCTCCCGCAGGCGCGCCCGCCGCCGCCGCCGCCCCACGCGGATCGGCGGCGGCCGCGGCCCAGGGCGCGGCGAGCCCGCAGGCGCCAGTGGGCCCAGCAGCTGGCGGCCCCTCTGAGTGCGAGATCCAGGCCGAGATGGCCAAGATCAGGGCCGCCAGTGCTGCCGGGGCCGCAGCTGCTGGGGCGGCGGCGCCAGCCACAGCGTGATCTACACCGTCGAGGGCTGACGTTTTCGCGGCGGCGTCAACCCTCGTTACCTCGGAGTCGCCAGGTGGGGGCGAGGCTTCAGCGACGGGCGCGTCTTCACCTTCCACCTCGGCGTCGGCTAGCGAGGCTGTCTGCGCAGCGGGCAGCGCTATATCGACCCCTTCGTCTTCGTCGGAGTCGCAATCCACATCTACGCTTCGCATGTTCTCCTCCAGCATCACATGCTTGGGCGAGCAGGCCTGGGCGCGCATTGCCAGCTCGGAGTTCAGGGGCAGATGCGACTTGATAGGGGCGGTCGAGACTCGCGCAGGGTGCCACATTCGGTCGCAGTGGGCGAGAAAGGCTCGACAGCTCAAGTGGGGGTATCTCGACAACGCGGCTCGGAGCACTGGCGAAGGTACGTCTACATCCTCAGAGCAGCGGGCCAACGAGGGCGGTGGGGCGCTGCGGGCGCCAGGGCACCGAGAAGTGACGCGTCTGTTCAGCACATCGCCCGGGGCGGCGTCTCTGTGCTCAGGTGGCGCCGAGGCGCTAGATGGCTTCCTGCCGGCCTTTGTGCACTGCAAGGGCTATTCTTTTGTCTGAATATTGTTATTTGCGCACCCTTCGATCGGAGTCGGGGGCGCAGGCGTTGAGAGGTTCGGAGAACTCGGGGCGTTGTTGCAGATGCTCCAGCTCCCTTGGCTCGTGATCGGCGATTTTAGCATCGAGGTGAACCAG